TTTTTACTCGAAGTAATATCAGAAGGTGAAATAGCACTAACAATAAACAGTTATGTATAGTGGCTACCAGAGACACAAATTACAACTGAATAATGGACAAAAGAAGTATGAGACTTATCGAGTTCTTCGTTTGATAAGTTGTAGCCGATGCAGCCAATGTTTGTGGGACGCCGTTGAATTGAATGGGGTCTTGACCGAGTGTGTTGAAATCTGGCCTGTTCTTTGTCGTTTAATCCAAAACGATTTCGAGCCCAGACTTTTCCTGCACAGTGAGTCGTGCGTCGGCTTGAAATGGTCTGGTCAAGGCGCTGTGTGAACTGACGAGCGTCGGGTTGTGGGATCGTTGTTCCGCATATATATATATATATATATATATGTTGTGAGTGAGGATGCGCTTGCATTGTTTGTCTTAGGATAAGATTCCAACACTCTTGGTTAGTCGTGGGGCGCATGTTCGTCCTAATGCGGACAGGAATGAAACAGCGGATGTGCATGCGTTGAAGAGATTATATGAGTGGATGAAGGTAAACATTAATGAGATAGTAATCGGACTGTGAAAGCGGTTGAAGATAAACGTTGGTGGGGTGGTAACCAACAAAAGTTCACTCAGTTCGCTCAATGGATACATTAAAAATGCCCTGGGGCCCACGTTCTTCGAAGGAGTTGAGCCGTCAGTAACACCGTTTCGCCGTCTTGAGGAGAAAATCGTTCAGCTGTAGCACCCTTTCGGTGGCTAACTGTCATGCCACCCAAAGGAAGCACGTCTTGAGGAGAACTAAGGTCGTTCTAAGCAATCCGGCCTGAACGGGGTCATGTATTCTTCCTCGCTTTTAAGGCGTTAGGTTGAACAGAGATGCCCATTACTCGGCATATGTTTGCCTATTCGGCGTATTCTTAAACTTTTCTGACAGCGATTGAGGCGGTGGTTGGTTTGGCTACATTGGAGAAGGTGAGAGTGATGCCAGCTACCGTTGCGCGGGGAGTTTCGAAACAGGAACTTCTGTGGCCCCTGCAGAGTTGCACAGCTACTCTCCGCGAGTCGTGTGGAATGCATAATGGTGGCTGATAAGTCTGGCACGGTGCTAGATATGATCCGGGCTGCCAGGGGCGGGATTGAGTCCTTGAGAGAGTTGTTTAGGATCCTGGGTTATTTTAACATGCGTTACCTTGGTATCGCGGTAACAGTTTGATACGATGTCCACATTTGCCCTTGGCTCACATCATCCCGTAGTTTGGTCAGTGGCTTTTCGTAGTATTCAGTTAGCACGGAAATACGCTTGTAAAGGGGGTCCTCTAAACAGGATGAGAAAGGATATGGTTTTTCGCGTCTTTTGGAAGTTCTCGAAGTTCTGTGGTGTCTTAATTTACACAAGTGCAGCGGAGAAGGTTATCCCAATAAATGCATTAATATTCTATGATCGCTCTGGCGCAAGAGAAAAGATGGATTGGGTTTTGGTCTTTGAGTATGAACGGATGGATGGGAGTCGCTATCGACGTCCGGTGGAGTGGTTCCTGCAAAGCACTGTGCTGTGTCACTAGATGTGCGCTTCTCGAGGATGCCAAATCTTGAATTTACTCCTTACCTGAAAAAATTCGAACCACAAAGCAGATGAGAGAACCTCGCCGGAGCCGAAAAAAAGTGGTATTAATCATTCAGCTGCAACATCTTTCGGTACCTGGTTGGCATGACACCCAAAGGAAGTGCGAGGACTGAGATGCTGCCGGATTGTCCAAGCCTAGACAATCGAGAAGCTGGGGTGGAGTTCGAACCGCAGACCTTCTGGTCAGTAACTTCGCACTTTAACCATTGAGCTACCTTGAGCTCAAATGGTATGGCTCAAATACCCCAAACAGCTTAAAATAGCATTTAAGCGTAAGGTGATAACAATGTTTCCACAATGACAGCAGCTACATTAGGAGAAACTTTATAAACGTAGATCATATCAGCTACCTGTCCAGTGGCTCATTAGGAAGTCGCCCGAGAACTAAGATACGCAACGGGCCAAGTTTGATTTTCCAAGAAATTATTGAGAGTTATAAAGAAAAATCAATTATTTGATCCAAAAATTGGTTCCCCAGACAAAACTAGGTGGTACTTACTAGCACAGCTGAAGAAACAAAGTGACCGCCAGGAACCCAAGTAGACCAATGTGACTTATCACATTCGGAATGAAGAGCACAGTGCGAAAAGCCCCGTATGCCATGCAATTGACCATCTATCGTGGCAAAATACAGGTCTAATTGTCCATCCAAATCGACGTCGTCTATCAGAACGGGCGCGGCCAAAGCAGACCGGGAAAACTCACTGACTAAAATTTCCAAACTAGCAAAAACGGCATGCTGTGTGTGATTGGTCGGTGAAGCGGGCTTCGGCAGGGCGGCGACAAATAAGAGTAAAGTCAGAAATAAAACAATTAAACTGAGGCATTCGAAAACATTTGAAGTCCTTGGCTGATTGCACAGAAGAGCCATGATCTACATTCCCTTTATCTTCTCTTTTCGTCCGCCTTTTCGAACAGCTCTTTAGATAGCTTCACTGTTTTTTCCAAAATTTCTGTGGGGGTTGCGATATCTTCAATTTTGTATTTGTTTTGGAAAAGCACACCAGTATAAAAGCCTCCTGCAAATATTGCCTACGGTGATTAAGTCAGAAAAATGGGAAACCAATACTTACCACTCCTCTGAACATGGTCGATGCAGATCGTGCAACAGAAAAGCGCCGTGGGATAGTGGATATCCGAAAACGGGGTTCCACGGAAGCTATCGCTGTGAACGAAAAACGAGCAAATTCGTGAGCCAGAGCTCAACCTCCAGACCACCAAACAGAGATAAAAAGTGTAGCTGGCCTCGTTTACGGAGAGCGAATTATCAGTGCTCCATTGCCTCAGCGATGAGTGACAAAAGGCATACACACTGTCCACATCCCCACCGAAAAAAAAGACTATTAGGGTACTCACGCGGTACTTTTCGCCAGCAATATTGCTCCACTCTTACGAAGGTGGAGTAGGTTGTTTTGTTACTAAAATCAAAAGGTAAGTGCATGCATAGGCGGACTTCAAAGACAGCTAATAGCGAGACCGCGTGAAACCGTACGATGCATGAAGTATGTGAATGGAAACACCTGAGTCAAGGCCGATTGAAAAACACATTAACGGGACACCTGGCTGATTTTGTGGAGGAAAGACGGACTAATTTGTCAGTCGGTTGAGTTTGTTTTAAGGCGGGTGTCTGTTGCGATGCCAGTTCCATGTGCACATTACAGTCCTTCCTCGACCTAGAACTGCTATCTAGACATCGTGGTCGAGCTTGAGTGCTGCAACAATTCCGCGGCCTACATTGGCCGGAACATTGTTCCACACGGTGGAACCATGCCAGGAAGGCCAAATGGGAGCAGTCAGACCAAGAGCAGCGAGACTCCATACTACAAGTAATTGTACTGCGAGGCGGCCTGGGGATAAGGTCATACTGTCCTCTGCGAAAGGCGTGTGAAGGTAGTAAGGTGATTAATCCAGGTGACCAGCATGTCCACATTAATGAAAGCAGCGACGTTGCCTTCCCCCAAGGAAGGACGTGTTAGAAAAAATCGGATCTAAGAGCCGCACACTCCGATTGCTCAACGGTTGGCCGTGGCCGCCGGTGTATTATCCAATACGATCCAACTACTTTGAAAATCAGAGTCCGGTGATGCTTAAAAGGCACTTTCTGTGCGCACGCTCACTCCCTGCGCCCTCGGGTTAGGCCAACACCTCGCAACCCAGCAGGTCATCAGCTTCAGGCAGGATCCCCAAATTCAAAATGGCACAAACCGCGAGATGGACAACGCATGACTTGGCAGAAGGGGGTCAAAGAGATCACGAAGACTTTGGGTGTTATTGGTGGGATCCCCGTGACCCCACGTGCGCTTGGCTGGAGACGTTGCAAGAAATGGGTGCTAATCGGTGTCAGCGGCGTTCATGCTGTAAGTTCCTTTCAAGTTTGTCTGAGTGAATGCTTGAATTGATCATCATCATCATCATCGACAGCATGACATCAGTGTTCAACACCGATGCTTCACTGCCGTACAACCATGACTTATTTGAAAGTCTTATTGTAAAGAAAAGAGTAAAGGTGGATGAAGGAGGTACTTAGTGCTAGCTTAACACAATCATTCCGAGGTGCCTACACCTCCAGACAGCCACTCAGGCAATTTGGATAGAAACTGACAACAGGAAGGCCACTGACATCGGTTGGCAGCCATATCTTGTAGTGTCTCCAACCAGGCACAGTGAGGATCACGCGGTCCCCATCCTGGAAGGCGAGCAGCACCAACAGCACCCAAGCGTTTCGTGATCTCCTTCATACTCCTCTGCCAAGTCAAGAATTGGCCAGCTCTCTGTATACGCCACTCTGAATTGGGCATGGAAAACAGCATTCTATTCGGCAAACGATGGTTCAGCATACGTAACACATGTCCCAACCAACGCAGCTTCTGGTGCTGGACACATTCTTCAATGCAAGTACCTATTACACAACCGAAAACGCGCTTTCTAACTGCCTCGTTACGGATTCCCCGACGCCAGCCCGCACGAGCTATGGTTATGAGAAAACGATTGTCGAACGCCTGAAGACGTCTCAGGTCCGCTGCTCGAATAGGCCAAGTCTCACAGCCATACAACAAAACAGCCCGTACTGTAGCTTGATACACACGTCCCTTCAGATTCAGGGATAAACCATTCTGACGCCATAGGTGTCTCAAGTTAGCAAACGCGGCCCGAGCCTTGCAGATTCGTGCATTCACCTCATCTGTCACACTGCAATCAGAACTAATACAACTTCCAAGGTACGTAAAACGCTCCACAACTTCCAGTACCTCTCCCTGGATTGTAAGGGGCGTGTTCAGTGACTGCACGTCCACAAGCATGACCTTACACTTTGTGGGTGCAAAATGCATACCAAAGGACGGGATGACTTTGGTCAGTTCATCCAAGAATACTTGCGCCTTCTCCTCCTCTTCGAACATGAGAACGATGTCGTCTGCATATTCCAGATCGACAAGGTTTTCTTCACTGGCTATTTGAACACCAGGGTTTTGGAGACCCTCCAGCGTTCGTCTCATTATTTCATCGATCACAAAGTTAAAAAGGAATGGAGAGAGTGGGCATCCCTGACGGACACCGCTTTGTGTGCGGAAGCTTTTGGAGAGCTCTCCGTACACTCTCACACGTCCGGAAGTCTGAGAATACAAAGAACGTATTATGTTTACAAACTTCCGGGGCATTCCTTGGTGTGCAAGCGTCTCAAGAAGAACAGACCGATCAACCGAGTCGAATGCGCCTCGGAAATCCAGGAATGGGCTGAGACTTGGCCTGTTCGGACAGCACTACTTAGACACCCTCAGCTGTTCGACAATCGTTGGCTCAAAACCATAGCTCGTGCGTGTTGGCGTCCGTAACGAGGCTATTCGGAAGCGAGATTTCGGTTGTGCAACGGGTACTTCGATTAAATGATGTGTCCAGCACCAGAAACTGCGTCGGTTGGGTGGTGTGTTGCGCGCACCTAACCATCGTTAGCCGAAGAGTGCTCTTTTCTATGTCGGACTCAGAGTGGAGAAAGCAGAGGTAGCATCTATATCATCATCGACAGCATGAAATCACTGTTCAATACGGAGGCTACACTGCCGTACCTTGACTTGGCAGACGAGGGTGGAGATTATGAAAATTTTGGGTGCTGTCGGCGCTACTGGCATTCTAGAATGGGGACCACGTGATTCCCACATTGCACCTGATTGAATACGCTGGCAACCAATGTCAGTGGCGTTCTTGTTGTCAGTTGTTACCCAGATTGCCTGAATGCATGTCTAGAGGTGTAGGAACTTTCGAAAGACTAGTAAGCTAACACCGAGTCCCTTCCCAGTCCGGCTTCATTCTTTCCTTCATAATGAGGCTTTCCAATAAATCAGGGTTGTACGGCAGCGAAGTATCGGCGTTGAACAATGAGGCCACGATATCGTTGGTGATGGTGATGTCGGATTCCCTCTTCACGCACCCTCGTAAGACGACGTAAAGTAACCAACGAAGATAATCCAGTTAAAACAAAGTTCGAGCTAATTACCCTGAGAGCAACCCTTTTGAAAACAGACACTACTATTGGCTCATCCCTGTTAGTTGGAACAGTTTACCCCAGATAGATTCATACACCGACTGAGGACTTAACCTTCATCCCTGAACACAGCGGGTGTCTGTCAGGAACAGCAGCTCAGTGAGGCTTGAGTGGCAAAATACATTCACTTATTTCCGGAGCCATCGGAGACTCAAGGTTCAATGTCCAGGGCTGCTTCGATGATTGGGAACCAGGCTGAGCAATTGCAGATGATCTAGTTGAATTGACCTCTGAATTGTTCAGCCGAAAGACGAGGGCGCTCTCCTTTTGCACGGAAAAGCGACTCGTTGCTGTGACCTGAGCAATTGCAGATGATCTAGTTGAATTGGCCTCTGAATTGTTCAGCCGAAAGATGAGGGCACTCTCCTTTTGCGACTCGTTGCTGTGACTGATGGTTCCACCAACCGGAAGCTTATCTGATCCGGTGCGCATATCAGTTGGAACAGTTTACGCACATTTTCGGGGTTTCTCGCCCTCTCCACCTATTCAGAACTCTGCATCCACCAAGCCCCTGAATCCGCGTGGATAGTAGTTTTTACTTGAAGCTAAGTAATACTGTACGTGTTTGAACTCCAAGCAATTTTGAGTATGAGTTGAGATCCGGTGCCTATGTACTATTGACTGAACCGTTCAGCAACCGACGTGCTCTGAATATTGAAGGATTGCGGACAGAACTTTCCAATGACAGTTAACAACAAAAGACGTGTTCTCCAAAGGGGACTTAAGCAAGCAGTTGTGGAATACTCCTCTCACATCAAAGTCCGAGAGCTTTCCAGTGATCAGATGAAGCGTGTACATCTTGTGTGCCCTTAAAAAGAGCAACGAGAAACAGATGCGAATCAACATCACCTTTCCAGGAGTGATACCATGCTGGATCCTTTAGCATTGGGAACATAATGTACCAGATTTCCAGGGTCTTCTGATCCCACAAATCTCGAAAGTTAAATATGGAGAGCCAGTGGGATAATTTGGGTTGCCAAAATAACTTATGCAGGAATAACCATAACGTTATTCTGAAATCTCAACAAAGCTGACCATAGTCCTAGTTGGTTTTAGAACACATATTACGGAATAAACCATTTGCGACCAACCAATACATCTGATAATAATAATCTTTGCCATCTAGGTATCCAGATTGCTAATCCACTACGATCTCCGAAAATCTCGAGTGGAATGTGCTACGAACCCAACTGAAACCTAGGGCTTGATTCACGGATTGATACACAGGACCGAGGCTTTTGCCCAAGTTTCCCGGGTCGGTTTTGTTCTTGTCGGTCAGTGGCTGTCGTTCACCTGGAAGGCACAAGTGAAAAAAGGTGTAGCACTGCTCTTTATGTTCTCAGCGCGAGACAGTATGCTTGCCAGCGCATGGATTCGCATAAATAAATTCACGGATTCTAAAAGTGCTTTGAACTAGGTTCTAGAAGCAGCGTAGACAACCGTCAGAGGAAGGTCATTCCACGCAGCTACTACCCGAAGTGAGAAAAAAAATTGCCTAAGGAATGTGTGTGCCCTGAGCTCGAAAATCTTCGTACCATGTCCCCACCGTGTGTTTCCTGGATCAACGGTGAAAAATCTGTTGGCCAAGCTTTGTTCAAACAGGGCATACATAAGAATCGGGTCCCCCCTGAGGCGACGATACTTGAGGGGAAGGAGG